TTTTAATGAAGTTTTCCTTTTTAATTTCATTAATTACAGATGAATTTGTGATAATTATTGATTTTTTTTTTTTTTTTTTACAGAAATTTTTTCATTTTAGATATTTTTGCATTGTTAATATTAATATCAACAAAATATTTAAATACCCAATTAAATTGGAACAAATATTCTCACCAAAAAAAGTATGATTCTTTGTAAAGGACTTTGTACGTCAATAATCAAACTTTGAGATGTTATGTGCAACCATAAAGTTAATAACTGCGATAAATTCATTTCACAATTAAATCATGCAACCGCTTAAAGGGGTAATTTATCTGTTAAAATTACCTGTTTGTAATTTAAAGAATAGTTAGAAGAACATTACGAAATTTCTCACGATAAGATTAGAAATAGTACCTTAAAAACTTTAAAACATGACACAAGATGTTTTGTTTATTATGTTCCTGAGAGATTATATGCTTAAACGTCAATTGAATCTTATCAATCTCTTAAGAAAATACCCTGTAGTTATCTGTCAAATCTGTTGGTGTTACAATGTTACAAGATAAATCGATTAACTAAATAGGGATATCGGAAAAAGTAATTTCCCGTCAAAAATAGAAGAACTGTTCTTCTGTTACAACAAATATTATTATTATTAAAAAAGACAGACAATAATTTCTGTTAAATTTTTTTTATTTTGTGGCGTAAAATGACTCATTAATAATAAAATTTGTAATTAATTTTTGACGTCATTATATTTGTATTTGTTTTTGTTAAACGAGGGTTAATTACCCACGACTAATGAATACTTTAATTACCTAAAGATTGATATTGTTATATAATTTAATATTTAAATATGATTTTTTATGATTTATAAAGTATAAAAAATCATTATTGCATTTAATATATAATATATCCGACCAAATTTAATTTTTTTTTTCACATTTTTGCATCGACGAATGAGAAATAATACAATATTTGCATCGGATGAGAATGATAAAAAATTTTTTTTATTGAACGAGAAATAATATATGTATAATAATCAGTACAAAAAATTTCGCTCGCTTGCCTTCAATTCTTTGATAATTCAAGAAATAAAAAAAAAATTTTTTGTACTATATATGTACTATATGTACTATATATATATGGAAACCTTCACCAAATAACGACCAAAAAAAAAAAATTAAATCTTAACTCTTTTTGTATAATTTGTAGCCTAAAATCAGATCTTATTCAACATATGCATTTAATTAGAAACAAAGTTTCGGATAAATAAATTTGATCGCCAATAATAAATTTTTTATTTACATATAACAACTCATCCTAACCTAAAAAGTGATATTAATATGTAAAACAATAATGTATAGAATAATGACAATAATATAAAGAATAATGATAATAATGTATAGAATAATGATAATAATGTATAAGAATAATGATAATAATGGTAATAATGTATAGAAAACAAATAATAGAGTACCTATTTATAAATATTTTTTAATTTACAATGGAAGAAATTGTTGGATTTGACCATCTGTAGTCCCAATATATAATTTTTTTCGGAATCCACAGATTCTAATAATAATCAAATAGATTTAGATTTAATTTATTATTAATTAAATAAATATATTTATTCACCTCATTAGTTCTTTTATAGACCACCCACTAGATGGTTGACTAGCAATTTCGAGATTCGATGTTGTTCTAGTTCGAAAAAATCTCCATTTTCTATTCTTTAAAAATGGAAATAACCTTTCAACTTCATTTATGACTCCATTATTTGAATCAAAAAAAGTATACTGGATTAAATCTTTCTCCCTCAATTTTTCAATTCTATTATAAAAAATATAGATCAACATATTATTAATACAGTAAGTGATCATCCTATTTAGTAGTATGAGACTACTCCAGCGTACCCTACAAAAATGTCACGAAACGGCCGGCATTAAGAAATTAAGAAATTAACTGTGACAAATAATGTGTGACACACCAGATATTTATGAAAAATGGAAACAAGGAAGGGTGTGACGCATGTGACAAAACCGATCACGTGATTTTTTTGTGACATTTTTGTAAGTACGCTCAACAGCAATTGCGCCGTAAAAAAATAAATATTATATTACTTACTTTCGAGGAATTTTTGGACTTAAATCCCCATGTGGCAGACAGAAAATTGTAAAGGGTTTTCTACGTCTGTTTCTTGTATTATTATTCTGTGGTGATTCAACACTGTTAATCATATCATCCACGTCAAGTTCAAACTCAGGTCGAATGAGAGATATATTCGCATAGTATTGTGCTAATAGTGTATTAAAGAAATGAAATGGTGGAGAGATATTATTACATTCGTAACAAATCCTTTGGCAACTACACGCCGCCATTCGTCCAATAACTGATTGTCCGTAGTTGTACCCGTAATAATAATTATCAGACATTTTTGTGAAGAAAGTAAAAAAAAAATATTTTTTTTGATAAATTTTAAGGGTTTTTTTATAATTATTTTTTTCATATTGATTGATAAAAACTTTAACAACAATATAACTTCATTATCAGTTGAGTTGCAGATGATATTCGCAGATATTTCAATACGCACTTTTAGACGGCTAAATTTTTTTTTTTTTTTCTTCCGATTATGAACAAATTCATATGAAAATTGCTTTTATTCTTTATTTGATTTTAAACGCTATCGACTGATAACTTACATTTATTTATAAACAAAAATAAAAAGCAAAAATAAAAAGCAAAAAAAAAAATAATAATAAAAATAAGTAAAGTAAAATAAAATAAAATAAGAATTTGATATATAATAAATATTCGTATATAATAATAATTAAGTTTTTTTGGTTTTTATATATTTTTATAATGCCGGTTTTTTATAATAATTTTATGATCATAAACATCACGAGATGAAAAGTTTTAAATAGATCATATTTATATGTTGTTTTTCTAGTTTTTTTCGTAGTAACATAAATAATAATAAATCTCGGTAAATACCGAATTATTTGGTTTTATCAAAAGATAACTGGAGAATAACCGATAAATTACCTGTTATATGTTGGGGGTTATAGACAAATATTTTAAGGAACGAATTTATTGTGATAATAAAAATTTCATGTTTGGTAACGTAAAACATATATATTTAATTATATTAATTACAAATACGTGTGATATGTGTTAATTGAAAGCATCTATTCTATTTAATACAATATTACTGTTGGGCCAATTTTTTAATACTGGTGATATAAGATGAATTTATATTTATTATTCAGCTCACTTTAAAACAATCGAGTTCAAAGAAAGCACTATTAATTTGATGTGAAATAAATATATCGTATTTTCAAATACTAATACTATAAATAACTCCGATTTTTAAATAATTTGGTTTTTTCCAATTTTTTTTTCCAATTTGTCAGCTTATTTTACACAATCTGTTTATTTCATTATAGCCATGAATAGACAATGATAATTATTTTCTATTGAACAAGTCTTTTCATGGAATTTGCTGTGATTGCTTGAATAGCTTAGATAAGAGAATATGGAATTAAAAGAATATAAATTGGAAAATCTAAGATGATTTCTAAGATTCTATTGAGATTCTAAATTAAAAATATTTATCAAAATTAAAAATTCACTATAAAAAAAAGGGATTAAAAAAAAAGTCAGCTGCTACGATTATTTATATTTGCATTTTCGTATGCGCCCAATGTAGTTTTGTGATCTTTTTCTTTTATCTTATCTAACTGAACAGCCAATTCCTTTTAATGTACCCCTTGTGACCATTTACATGTTTAATTTTTCATAATACGTCCAAAAAGAATATTGTTTTATAGTAACTACCATGCACCTTATCTTATTTTTCATGATATCAATCAATCTGAAATAAAGAGAAAATGTAAATAAGTATAGGATTTGCCCATACAAATCGCTAAAAAAGGAGTAATTAGAACACATTCCTCTTTAAATAAACAAAATAATTTGTTATATAACAAAGTTAGTGTAATTGATAAGATATTTCATTGTAAATAATATTTTTGTAAAATGATTTACATTTGAGAAAGTGCACAAATATTCATCACGCGACCACCGACATATATATGCATACAATATTTATCTTTATATTTAAAATTATAAATACTTGATAGAAATTTTTTTAGAGATTTGGCGCGTAAAAAAAAAAGAAATTTATCATCTTATAATATATACTTCACATATTGTAAATGGTTCATTCACGTTGAATTTTTCATTTTTTTTAAAGATGACGATCCTCAGGCCCGAAAAAGGGAAAAAAAATTCTATTTCAGATGATTTTCAGACGTACCCTAGAAACAAATTTGCTTTAGGGGTACTAGTAATTGATCGTCATTATTAAGCAAAAAAAAAAAATTCCGCAAAAAAAATTCCGTAAAAAAGAAAAAAATTTTTTATGGTTAAAAAACCGCGATTCGGAACTTTTATATTTTTCAACTTAATTTATTAAATTTTCGCCTTTTTCTATAAAAAATCCTTTGGAAAATACATATTTTCATTATTGGTTAATTTGCAGTAAATTAATTCTCTCTTTCCATATTTTATTATATTATATAGGAACGCACGGAAATATCGTTAATTTATTAATAATTTTGATTGTTGATTCATTATCGGGCCAGAAGTTTACCAATTCTAATATCTGAACAAATTTCTCAAATGAAAGTTCGAAAATATGTTGTGTATGACACATTTTCCACAATGATGCAATTATATACTATTTATTTATAAATAAAAAATAAAAAAAATAAAATAGATAAAAATATTCTTACAAAGCACAGAAATTATTATAAATACTGTTAAATAATGTTAAATAAAGAGTCTAATAATTAAAAATACAAATAATTTTTAACTCACTTTGCAACGTACAATATAAGAATATTTTTATACAAAAAATAATATACTGTATATAACTACTTCTTTCAGTCATCCCAATATTCATTACATTACCTGCCTTCTATGCTAGTAATTCATTCTCAATTTTTTTAATCATATTAAATTTCAAAATTATTTGTTAAAGTCATAATAATTGGCCCATCTTTTGTTCCTATATACAACTTTTTCCTGCTGCCTGAAATCCTATTGATATAAATACAGTAGTATAATTAATTAATAAGATATAAAATCTCAATTTATATATAGAAAAATTTAAATTGTAGATATTTTACCTTTTTAAATCATTATAACGACATTCAACAACTGATACATCTTCAGCGGGTACAAGTTTTGATGATTTACATTTATAAAACATCCAATCTACATTTTCTAAATGAGGTGATAGTTTATCTTCAATTGCTTTCTTTATTTGGCCATTAGAATCATTATTAAAGCAAATTTCTTTCTTTAAACCAGCTTTCTCCAATCTCGCACAACTAAATTTTTTTTAAAAAAATAAATAAATATTATTTAAATAAACTTTAATATGATATTTCTATTTTATCACATACATACTTACTTTTTTGGTATTTTTAAACTACCAACTAAACAAATTAGACCAAACTTCTCGTTTGCAAAAGATGCGACGTTATTTGATGATCCTTCGATATTATGATTTACGTAACTTTGATCAAAATTTTGACCAGAAAGCATTGGATTTAGTATTTGATTTGATATATAATTGACCGGAAGAGATTGAGAGACAGAATTTTGTTCAAAAATATGTGTAGGAGATTGATTTAGCACGTTATGAGATTGATTTTGAGGTTCAATATGTTGTTGAACAACAAGATGACTAGTTTGCTGATCTGTGTGACGAACAGGAGTATTTTGATGCATGGTCTCGTCCGAATGAAGAGTTACTTGAGGCTCAAACCAATTTTCAAAGTTTTGTTGGACAGGAATAGGTACCCTATATTGATTATATTGACTGTACTTATTATTTAATATGGAAATTAATGCTTCATTAAATTTTTGAAGATTATTTAAACTCTGTAAAATATCGTCATCATCTTCATGATGGCTTTGGTGATGTCCACATCCTTTGCATAAACCGTCATCGTCAGGTGCACTTTTTAGAATACACCTTAAGCAGCCACACTTATACCCATTGTTTAGATTTGTAAAATGACATCTTTTAAGAGTTGACATGTTTTTTTTAAATTTTAATTTTATTTTTAATTTTTTTTTTTTTTTAATGTAAGAGCTATGAAAATAATTTGAACCTTTAAATATTTTTTTTCTCGAACTTTTTAACTAACCTTAATAAGTAATTACAAACTGGGTGAACTGCTTTTTGATTGCAAATATAACGATATATTTGATATTTAGCGAAATATCAGATGATCCTAATAGATTGATCGACCAAATAATATCTGTTAAAACTATCCGTTTAATTCTCGCCTTCAGCATCCGGATCTAAAGACTGTTATGATACAAAAAAAAATGATCTTTTAGTATTTCTGAAAAGAATTTATTATTTTATTGAAAATTTTATTAAAATTGAGATTTTTTGGTATTTCTGAAAAGAATATATTAATAGGATATTATTTTTATTGAAAATTTATTAAAATTGATTATTACTTATTATCGTTAATTAAAGTTATTTATTCAGTATTAATCATGGTCTTACAACAGATAATCTGTTACAATTTTCATACATTTGTTAAACTACCGTATACCAACCAGTCATATCATCATATAGAAAGTATAATAATTTGACACTAAAATTACAGTCCAGCTGATCAAAAGACGTTTGTAAATTATTTTATATTTATTGTGCATTTTATTTAACAGATAATTGTTTTTTTTGGATATTTGCTCCTATAAATGGGATAAACGGTATATGTTCTTCGTGTTCTTTGTTGATCACAAATAAATCAAACTGTTAATCTGTTACGTCGTTACGTCGTTACGACTATGTAACTGGAGGGATGATCACAGATAAAATCGCTGCGGCACGAAGGCTGAGTTTCTAATTAAAGAATATGCAGCCGAATCTCGCATTATCCCGGCCTTAACTGTTAAGTACCACGAGTGTGTTACTAGAAATACGGAACGTAATAAAACATATTAATTATTTTAAGTATAAGACTAATTTTAACCCAGGGTGATTTAACCTGGGTGATTTAACCTACTAGTAAATTTTTATAATTTTGCCCAAATTTTCAAAAAAAAATGTAAATTATGATTACAATCAAAATTGAGAGACATTGTCAAAATGTAAGAAAACTTGGTCATTGTGCTCTATAATATCCAAATAAATAAAATCTATATAAAGCGAAATGAATAATAACACAAATAATTTTTTTTTTAAGAAAAACAATGATTGATATAAAATATAAATTTTAGGGGGTGATTTAATTCAGGTTATTTAACCCGGGGGACAAGTTAGCAAAACTCTTATTTTAATATTATGGTTCATACCAATAATCCCAGAATCGTTAAATTAATTATAGTTATTTACATATTAGTAATGAATCATATCACAAAACGCTTGAGAATCGTTAATTAGATGTGAAAATACTATGATATTATATATGTAAAATATTATATCCGATATTCCTAGTGATGCCGACTTATAAACTTATTGGTTTTAACAGAATTATAATTAAAGCAAAAAAAACAACGTTGTTGAAATAGGTTGCTGTAAAAATTCGATGGCAATCTTAATATAAATTATAAATCTATAAAATTTCAGCGATAAATATATTACTCATATCCATATGAATAAAAAAAATTATTCATTATTCATTGTGACATGTAATAGTCTTGTAATACAATCTTAACGTTTAACGTGAGTATATAATATAAATATATCCAATTTCGAGTCTCAATAATTTTTTTTTCAACTTGGCTTTTTTTCGACTTGGGATACTAGATAGTAGTTCAGTTTTTTATATTAACGAACATTAGTTTTCTTATAAGTGATAAGCGAAGGACTATATATGTTTACGCACTATGATGATCTATGGAAATAACGTGTAAATTTTCAATCACGTGAGTTTCTCTGTCCAGGAATTCCAAGGCGTTATGCTGCTAATCAGCAGAAAATTACCGGAATTCCAAGGCGTTATGAATATCGCTACATCTTTATTTATTATACCTCGCTCCGGACTTACAACGGTTCCCGTTTCCTAGTTTATTCCAGCGAAAGTCACGCGATAGTTTCCAATATTTTTAATTCGGGATTTTTTTTTGTTACCTTTATTAAAAATTGAGATCTTATCGAAAAGATCAACATCAAAAAGGAAATGGTTCAATTCATGTAGAATGTACAGTATATGGAATTACATCCGATCTGCCTAAAAATTTCATGATGTGGTCGAAGCACCCTATTTGTATATAAAGAAAGTACTTAAAAATTAATGTCAAAAACATCTACAAAAATATTAAACATAGGTCTTTTTTAAAATTTATAGTTACCTTTATTATCGCAATTTTCGAATTACTGAAAATAGTTTAAATAGGAAAATAAAATAAAAAAAATGATTTTTTTAAAAAACCCACGAAAACAGTAAATTTTATTGTATTTTTGGAAGGAGAAGGTGCGATTATAACATGAAAACCTTGATTTTAGGATGAAAAATCCAACTCTTAGGTAAGTTTACTTATAGAGAACTTTTTAGGTTACACAAAATTTCAAAAGTCGCTTATATGCAAAATTACCGAAAAATTAAGTTTTCTGCTCTAAAATTAACATTTTCAGGTTATAATCGCACCTTCTCTATCTAAAAATGCAATAAAATTTACTGTTTTCGTGGGTTTTTGAAAAAAATCATTTTTTTTTATTTTATTTTCCTCTTTAAACTGTTCTCAGTAATTCGAAAATTGCGATAAATGAACATTTTAGTTTAGCGTATAAGTACTGTATATAATGTAAATAAACTACTAGATAAAGAGCTTAATTTCACAATTCTTTAATTTTTTTTTTCAGGAATTAATTTGCGAGACGATGATACGATTCAGTTTATAGAGTGACTTCTTTATTTGATTTTTGGATAGGAAAAGCAGACACCAAAAAGGTTTTCCTATAAAAAATTTTATCCGTTATTTCTGTAAAAATTTAGTAAAAATTCCTTTCACTGATCCATTCACAGAAAATGTAAATACTGTAATTCGATAAATTCAGCGGTATAAGGTTATTAATTCCGGAAGCATGAGCTTTTTATGGAAAAAAGGTGGAATATAAAAAACGGACCGACTTTTTTACAAGGGATTCGGTTTCGGTTCCACGAACCGAAACGAATCGGAACGAACCTAACCGACTTCAAAAAGCCGGCTGATATCATATATTATTGGCAACAATTGCTTATTATTTACAATATTAGTATCAATTATTATTGTTAATTGTTCGCTATTGCTATTCTCCATTACAAATACTGATTTAAGTTTTCAACAAAAATTAATGTTTATTTAATATAACAAATGATAGACACCATTAATCAACGACGTATTGTGTAATTTATGACAAGGTTTAATATTAATTGAGCAGAATCTATAGGTACTGTCAGAGTTACGGCACAATCGGCACATGCCGTAAAACCGTAATAATAGGTCGTAAATGGTGCAATGCCAATTTAACGCTGTAATTTAATTAACGCCGACCAGCTAGTGCTATGAAGCCAAACGTATAAAACGCATGATGCCGTGATGCCGACTACAGTAAACCAAACCGTTGCTTACGCTATAACTCAGCCTATTGACTTTCATAATTCCGGTCAGAATTATATGATCTGCACAAAAATTCCTTTTTTTAAAAAAAAATTGTAACGTCACGTGATCCGATATGCATTTCGTTCCACTTGGTTTTACAGACAAACTAAATTTTTGAACCCGATCCGCCGATCCGCCGATCTGGTATTTTTAGCTGGGCACGTGATCCTGATTTGATAGTTTGATTTTGTAAAATAAATAACAACTGAACCGGATCGGTGGGGTTCAAAAATTTATTTTGTCCCAGGTCTTATGAAAACAGCTGTAATGGTTCTAACGTTAACGAAGGGCGGTCCGCCTGTTGGATTTTGTATGTCAAGTTTAGCTGTGTACTCATATAGTGCCTTTTAGTCATAACGAGTTTGTAACTAAACGATGTATTCACGGTTTCTAAGTAAAAATAAATGGTTCTAACGTTATGTATGACACATTTCCCATTACAATGATTCAATTACTTTTATTTATAAAATAAATAAATAAATAATAATATTCTTATAAAGATTCTATAGTTAAATACAAATAATTTTTAACTCATTTTGCAGTGACATGTCTATAAGATGAGCAGATTTGACATCTTATTAGAATATACAAAAAATAATATATTTAATTACTTCTTTCAGTCATCCAATTCCCAACAGTCATTACATTGCATGCCTTCTATAATTTTTTTTATCATATTAGATTTCAAAATTATTTTTTAAGTCATAATAATTGGCCCATCTTTTGTTCCTATATACAACTTTTTCCTGCTGCCTGAAATCCTATTGATACAAATAATATAATTAATTAATAACTGATAAGATAATCTCAATATTATATGGAAAAATTTAAATTATAGAAATTTTACCTTTTTAAATCATTAAAACGACATTCAACAATTGATACATCATCAGCAGGTACAAGTTTTGATGATTTACATTTGTAAAACATCCAATCTACATTTTCTAAATGGGGGGATAGTTTTTCTTCAATCGCTCTCTTTATCTGGCCATTAGAATCATTATGAAAGCAAATTTCTTTTTTTAAACCAACTTTCTCCAATCTTGCACAACTAAATTTTTTTTAAAGAAAATAAATAAATATTATTTAAATAAACTTTAATATGATATTTCTATTTTATCATACACATACTTACTTTTTTGGTATTTTTAAACTACCAACTAAACAAATTAGGTCAAACTTATCGTTTGCAAAAGATGCGATGTTATTTGATGACACTTCGATATTATTATGATTTACGTGACTTTGATCAAAATTTTGATCAGAAAGCATTTGATTTAGTACTTGATTTGATATATAGCTGACCGGAAAAGATTGAGAAATAAAATTTTGTTCAAAAATATGTGCAGAAGATTGATTTAGCACGTTATGAGATTGATTTTGAGGTTCAATATGTTGAACAGGAATATTTGCGTCATTTGACTGAGTATTTGGATGCATGGTCTCGTCCGAATGAAGAGTTACTTGAGGCTCAAAACAGTTTTGTTGGACAGGAATAATAGGAACCGTATATTGACTGTACTTGCTATTTAATGCGCAAATTAATACTTCATTAAATTTTTGAAGATTATTTAAACTCTGTAGAACATTATTATCGTCTTCATGATAGCTTTGGTGATGTCCGCATCCTTTACATAAATCGTCATCGCCAGGCGCACTTTGTAGAACGCACCTTAAACAACCACACCTATACCCATTGCAAAGATTTGTAAAATTACATCTTTTAAGAGTTGACATGTTTTTTTTTAAACCCTAAAATAGTTTTTTCTCAAATTTTTTAACTAAAATTTTATTATTTTTTTAATTTTTTTTCGTCGCAATCGTAATTTTAAAAGAATATATTTTTGAAACAATGAAATTTTTTTTTTGAAATTTAAAAATAAAAACGAAGGAAAAGATCAGCAACAATGAAAAGATAAAAATAAATTGATTTACTTCAAAAAAACACTTGTATATAAATGGAAAAATATTCCTCACATTGTATTCATTGATTCTCGAATTTTTTAACTAACCTTAATAAGTAACTATGTTCTACCGTATAGATGATAATTCGTAACTTTGATCCAAGAAATTCTAAATAACTCCTGCTATAATATCGCAATTATTTGGCTATCTTTATAACCTCTCAACCATTTTGAAATTTTTCGATATTTCTTTTCCGGCTGTCCTCCTTCTATTATTTTTTTAGCCTCCTCTTCGCATGTCTCTTGCAAATTTATAAATCTATTACTCTATCTCTTAACTTCTTCCCACATACTACTCCTTCTATTACTTTCTTCCCTTTTCTCTTCATCTTTACTAACCTATTTCGATTCTTCCTTGTTGGCTACTTGGTCTCTCTCGATTCTTCTATGTTAACTTCTTTCAATTCTTCCTTGTTGGCGTTAATTTTTATTCAAATTCTAATAATTTTTCGAGTTCATTTAAATTTTTACAAACTACTATTAATTTTTCTGTAAAAATTCCAACTTGCATTAAATTCCCTATATATTAGATTGTCAATTCCCAATTTTTCCATGATGACTTTTACATCATTTGGGTTTGCTCTAAAGAAAAAAGAAAAAAGTTAGAAAATTTTTTTTTCCATTTTGTCAGTATTCAATTAAAAAAAAATTAAATAGTAATTTTAATAATATATTAATATTAGATGTATATTCACTCAATAAGCAATAGACATTTAATACAATCGTTCCAACAAGACTACCACCTAGCTATTTTTACAAAAGAAAAAAAAATATTATTTAGTTACTTGAGATGAAATCCTTCATCCGAAAAGAAAAATTTAATCCTTACATATGGTTACGTATCTCCATATTCTTCATCTAAATAATTTGTATACTCTCCAGAACCAATAACAGTAATAAGTTTATTGTATCTACACTAGCGATTATATTAACAGATCCTTCATTTTTATTCTGGTTTTTTTAAGATCAATGGATAAAAAATATTGTTCAGGTGAAACTGATGTATTTATATCTTCGATGTGTAGTTATTCGTTCGTCATCTTAGTCTTTCATACATATTTGACATATTTTTTTAGCTTCTTGTTGAACTATTATAAAAAAAAAGAATTAATTTTATGTATATGTAACATTATTTTAATTTTAAATAAGATAAAGCACTTACTTGTCATAAAATTCCAGACATTATCTTATATGCCAATTATAGGTTCCCGAAAATATTTGCTCTTTACAAAACCATCATTCAATTAAAACATACCGTAATAGGCTGATTAAAAATACTATTAATTACTGTGATTGCAATAGCATAGTCATCAATAGATTTCACAAAATCTCAATTATCGTGGCTTACAGAAGTAATTTGACGTATTATTACCATGACTAGAACCATCATCAAGTGATAAATCAACATTACTATAAAATTTAATTGTAAGGGATTATTTCAGATGGATCTATAATATCACCAATGTTCGGAGTTGTGCTGAAGATATGTAAATTTCCATAACCATGATCTAGTAACATTTAAAAGTTTATACAAGTTAAAAAAAATTTATACGATATATATTGTTTCTCGTTCGTATAACCTTACCACGTGCACCCGATCTTGTGATCAGTTGAGAAGTTGCGAGAGTATTATTTGGTAAAATTAAAATATCACCATTAAAATTTGTTAAAATAGGATATGATATATTCCAATTATAATGATTACTACGGTCTTCCAAAATATAACCATAAAGATTTTTCATTTGGATTTGGTGCTGTACTATATAAGATAACCTCGTTTCAGGGCTTTGAAAAATAGTAATATTATATACGGTTCCCGTTGAAAATCAACTTTAATAAACGTATTTGATCTGTGATATAAATAAGTTTAACATCACGTGAGTTCTGGAAAAAAAGTCACGGATCGACATACTGTATATGGAGCAAAGGTTTATTGACGGCGGCGTATAATCAGGATAAATAATCGCATATCCTCCGTCCATGTTAATATGCTGCTGCTGGTAGTGCTGTAATTGCCGGTGGCGCCGGTGCTGGATTTCCATATATTATACCTCTTTCGTCCTTATCGTACTATTGTGAAAATGCGTGCAGATTATCCTGCTCAACAAGAAGCGCCTCCACTAATGGAACTATAAAAAACCGCACTCCGAGCGGCTCGGTGTAGTCATTGCTGCCAGACCAAATAGTGCCGAAAAATTATAATTCACCTAAAGTATTTAAAGTATTTGAAATTTTTTTTAAGATAAACTTTCAACTCGTTTTTAAAGAATTTTAAAGATCATAATTCTATCATTCTGGGTAACAGTTTTCATTAAAAAAGTTATATACGGTGCACACAATCTAAAGCCAAAGTAACTTTAAAGGGAAGCTAAAAATAAATAGAAAAAAATTTTTTTATCATTCCGTCAACTCAACGGTACAAAAGTAGGCCGATCACGGTGACAAATAACGTGTGATAAATAAGTTTAAAAAAATTCCCGCGGTACGAAATTAATTTGTAGATCCGGCACAGATTTTATATGAATTACGTTAATTGATGCCGATTTTGTCCCACAAGGTCACGTCAAAGTGTAACGATGACTCACCAATCAATAACATTAAACATGAAAAAAAATTTTTTATCGTTCGATATAAAATTTAACAAGTTTACCTTGGAGGAAGTCACCATTCCACCTTATATTTTAGTTAAGTTGAGATTTTTTATACGCGAATTTTGCAAATTATACGAAAATTATATAATATTTTCAATATTTTTTTTTATTTTACTTTTTTTTTGGCACACCTTGATCCTACCACAAATTTTTGAAGTATTTATGTTAATACATACCAGATCAATAGTATTTGTTATATAAAGGTGTCGATTATTTTGTACCGTTGAGTGGCGGACCGGCAATTAAGCCTGTTATTTGATAGAGTATTATTTTGTGATTATAATAACAGAGAATTTTTTCCAATTAGACAATTCAATCATAAAATCTATTATTTTTAAGATTATTGAACCGGAATTTTCAATAAGTGAATAATCTTCAACCTGTATCCTGAAATCCTTTTCACTTAATCTTTAAATCACAACTCAAATATATCTCCAAAAAAGAGAAATGTACAATTAAACATACTCAAGAAATAAAAAAACAGAAGCACTTATTAGAATTACAAACTGTTGCAGATATTTTATTAGAGGATAGTGAAAATGATCAGTTAATTGTACATGGATAGGATATATATTGTAAGAAATTTGAAAAAAAAATACTTAATGAACTCTCTCCAATAGCTTTAAATAATATTAAAAGCTGCCAAAAACCCTATTGTTTTTCAAACAATTCAGCCTATTTCTTATACTGGAATTTCGTTGAGAACGGTGCGGAAAAAAAGCGGAATAAAGATATTACTGAAATCACGTAATCTATATATTAAATCACGTGATATATATAATATTAAAAATTTGGCTACCTTTTTTGCATATTACTTGGCTTTAGACTGTGGTGCGCAGAATTGATAGAATGACTAGAAAGGCTTTGGCCGACAGTACGATGAGACGAGCCTCTAACCTAGCATCCAACAGTTGGCACTCACCTTTCTCGTCCACAGAGGCACGATATACATTTCTGCAAGAGATTGAATTTCCCATTTTCATTTCTTATAAAAGAAGAAATATATAATTAAATTATACATTAAAATTAATTTTTGTAAATAAAATATAAATATCGAAATCATTTAGTACTAGGAAACGGAAACCGTTATCAAGTCCGAAGCGCAGTTATCATTGTACATCATCACGTGCCGGACGGACACAGGCATTTGTGAAACCGATACGACTAGCGCAATACAAGAAATCATTTTTAGGTAGCGGCCATTCTGTCCATTCAGTAGTGGAAGCTCGTATAAAATGTTGTTATATAAATGTTTTTCGAATATAAAAAATATGCATAACTTCCTTCAATTAGAGAAAAAGTATTTTGTCTAACAATAAAAAATTTATAGGGTCAAATTTTAAATTTTGCAAAAGACAAAAAATTGATTGTTTATTTAATGTATCTGCTGAAAGAACAAATCCTTTAACGGTTCCATTGGAATAAATTGTATGAATTGAATTATTCTAGCTAGTCATTTAACATAAAGTGAACAAAAAAATATAAATAATAAAACTATAAAAAATTGAAATTATAATTCTAATATTATTTAGAACCATGGCCTTCACCATTTTGAGTTGTCATTGCACCATTAGGACCACGTTTCTTGAATTTACTGCTATTGCAATGACGTTTATTATGGTGGTAAGAATTCCATTGTCATCAGTCAATGGACATATCAGTGAACTTGTGTCTAAAAGATTTGGTACTTTTATATTCAATCCATCCGTGAGATCGAAAAGTGTATTATTACACTCATCAACAATTTTAAATCCGTAAGACGCTTTTGTATCTTCGAAGTCTTTTTTAAATATTCCTGCGACCTCTGTGTTGCATATGAACATTTGCATTGATTACGCTTTTCGAGCGTACTAGATAATAATCCATTATCAGTTGTAAAAGCCGAAGCCGATGAAATAGTTGTGAGAGATAAAAGAATAAAAAAGTTCAAAATCGAATTTTACATATTTGTCGTTTGTTATTTTTAAAAATAAGGGGAAAAAGTAAATATTTTTTGAAAATATTTTATTATTAAATTCTTTATTCCGAACATTGAATTCGATGAAGAATGGGATGGGTGTAGTTTATTCTTTTTATATTGTTTTTAACTTATATTAGTCGAACAGTAAAATTCTTTCCTTTTATTCTGATCTAAAAATACATGTAAAATTTAAAAATATAAGAATGTTTACATAAATATACTACATTAAGTTACTGAAACTTTCTAATTTCTTTTCATCTTTTGTAATAAGTTCATTAGTAAAAATCTATATATAAATTTTACGCTAAATTTTTTTTTAACCTTTCTAATATTACCAAAAGAATATGTTGCATGTGTTTGTGTTTACATTACAATGAAGAAATCAAAAATGAGTTTATTAATACATATTAATTTGCATACATAAAGTAGCAATTAAGGAAATAAACATCACCGGATGATACCTTTATGCATATATTAAATATTTTAATATTAAAATGTCATATGAAAATATCAGAGACGGAAGAGTTTTTCATTGATATGGTTTAAAACCTAAAAGAAGTTAGATCCCATTTTACATATATAAGGAAAATTGAACAAAGTCAATTGATCATCTTGATTTTAAATCCTTAAAGAGGTAACACAATCAATTTCATTGTTGATTCTTTGTCGGATTTATGAGATTTTTGAGCCGTGAATTTAAACATTTTTTTCCATTGTAATTAAGTTTATATACGTTACGATACACCGTGGAGGCTCAATATTAAAAATGAATATTTATTATTAATATTACGTAAATAAAAATATCAAATATAATTTAAAATTTTAAAAAATATCGTTATATCGTCCTACTACATAAAATAGAATCTTATCAATATCACCATTTTCGTAATCATTTTTATTTTGGTCTAAGTTGCATAACAAGAATGCATAAAAAGCATCGAAAATTCTTGTTCACAATGAAACAAAAAACAATAGAAATTGTGTTTACAATGATACCAAAATCATTGAAAAGACTAGTCAAATTTGATCTTACATAATGAAAATAGACAATATGCTGTATCTAATGCATCACATATAAAGAAACGATCAAAAAAATTTTTTCAAACCAGGATATTCAGTTACTTATTAGTCATTATGCATGGAAATGAAAGAAAAAATAAACAAAGAAGTTTAGTGACGTTATTTATTTATTAGAAGTTTGAATGAATGATAAAATATAACGATTGAAAGTTCCAAAAAAAGTTAACTGAAATTTTTCACAAAAAATTTCGGAGTACGGATAGAAAAAACAATATTACATTGTTACAAAAAAAATTAGTCGTAGCAATATCTTCATTTTTTTTATTCAAAGGTCCAAAAAAGTCTTGTTCAGTGAGTTCAATCAATTTGGTAATATGCCCTAAAAAATTTCAGTGATAATCCATTTTTTAAATGAGGTTATTTTTTATTTTTTTTATCGATTATTTACTAGCGATATTACCAGTAAAATCGTCCATCTAAGAACCAACCCTTCAACACCTCACGTGTTAAATACAAATTATTTATGATGATGGCACAATAGTCGTTCAAATAGTTCGTGTAAACTATACAACTCCTTCCAAAATTTGCGGAATACTTATCTGCACTATCTTCAGAAATTCTAATTTTAGTTTTCTTTTAGATTATACATGTAGCCGAAATTTTCCGAAATATGGCCGAATCCGAAAGGTTCAAAATCCGAGCGAAACTCCGGCCGACATGGCCGAAATTATGTGGTAACTCTGGCCAAATTTGTGGTGCCGGCCAGAATTATAAATCACGTGACTTATATTACATAAAATTCGTAATGGGCCAAAATGTATAGTGCCGGCCAGACAATTTCGGCCTGAATTTCGACTTTCGGCAGAGTTTCAGTTTCGGGAATGACTGGCCGAAACCGAAACCTGAAATTATGCCGAAATTACTGAATTTTGGCAACATGTATATTTCTGTTAGATTAACAATAAATTGTAAAATTTGTCTCAAATAATAATAAAGATAATTTAAAAAAAATTATCGTTATTTATATAATTTTCTTGTGAGAAATATAAAAAGAGTGACCTTTTTCCATCGAACAAATAGAAATAATAATAAATATTATCAAAAAAAAGAA